CCCTGTGTGACTCCCGCCATCACCCTGTGTGACTCCCGCTATCTCCCTGTGTGACTCCCCCGTTGTCAAGTGGGAGCTGAACATCAGCTCCATCACCAAGAAGGCTCAGCAGAGGATGTACTTCCTGAGGCAGCTGAAGAAGTTCAACCTGCCAAAGACAATGATGGTGCACTTCTACACAGCCATCATTGAGTCCATCCTCTGCTCCTCCATCACAGTCTGGTACGCTGCTGCCACTGCCAAGGACAAGGGCAGGCTGCAGCGCATCATCCGCTCTGCCGAGAGGGTGATTGGCTGCAATCTGCCGTCCCTCCAAGACTTGTTCACTTCAAGGACCCTGAAGCGAGCAAGAAGGATTGTAGCCGACCCCTCTCACCCTGGACATGAACTGTTTGTGCCCCTTCCATCTGGCAGGAGGCTGAGGTCCATCAGGACCAAGACCTCACGACACATGAACAGCTTCTTTCCATCCGCAGTTGGGCTCATTAACAGAGCCCGGGACCCCCACTGACTCTGTCATCCCCAGGACAAATTCCCACCGGTCACTCCCCTGCATCCCTTCTATTACACTAGACACTTTCACACTACACTTACATCTCACTTCTTTACAGTCCTGTCATCTCTTCGTTTGTGCACTTTATTTTATATTTCATATCTCTTGTAAATTGTAATATGTTTCTACTTGCACTGATTGTTGTTGATTGTTAAATGTTTGCACCTCCCGTCACTCCAAATTCCTTGTATGTTCAACATACCATGGCAATAAACGGTTCTGATTAGTCAGTGAGCATGTATCTGATTTAATGACGTCATCATTGGTTCTGTTTTTACATCTACAACATTCACTGTTCGTGTTAATATTTTGGGTTATCTCATTAAAATAGTCTTTTTGTTCATTTGTGTCGCAGAATGTTCCACTTTAAGTTATTTGTTTCACTAATATGTGAAAGTTTGTTCTATTTGGTACCAACAACAAGATAAACATTACATAGATGTGTTGAGTCATGATGGGTTTACATTTAACTTAATATCTTTATTATGTGTAATTATCAGTTCTATTGTTAATAAGAACATCAACTGTAAATAGAGAGATGTTTGAGTCTGGTCGGATGATTAGTCGAGTGTCTGAGGCCTAAAACATCAACAACTTAATAAAGTAATCAATAAACTGTGGTTCATTACGGTACCGACACTCTGGTCCTCAGGTACAGAACAAGCACCCTGAACACCAAGCTCCGTCCCGGTGCTAGCTAGCTCTGTTAGCGCCCCGGTCTTTATGAGACTCTGTCCCGGTGC